AATCTTCTATCATTTTACATAACATACATGCATACATATAAACATCAGAGGCAGCGTGCAAGATAGATGGATGGATGGATGGCCAGTCTTCGAGTCAAGATGATCTGGATTCAAGTTCTGCCTTTAACAATTAGTGGCTATGTGTTCATGGGTAAGTTACTTAACCTGTCAGTGTCCCAGGCAATTCTCTAAAACTATGGGGAAGGAAACAAATCTTTATTAAACACTCGCTCTGTGCCAGGCACTGTGCTAGGTGTTCTACAAATATTATTTCATATGATCTTCACAACAGTCCTGTGAGGTAGATGCCATTATTACCCTCATTTTACAACGTAGGCAGAGGCTAAGAGACCTGCCTAGAGTCAAACAGCTAGGAAGTGTCTGAGGCTGGATTTGAACTCAAGTCTTCCTGACTCCAAATCTAGTGCTCCAATTACTGTGCCACCCAGCTGCTTCTGAATTACAAAGGAGCTGTTTATCTGTATTGGTAGAAGGAGTTTACAAACTGGAAGTTTCCTACACTGATGAAGTCACAATTCTCAACCCCCCCCCAAATTGTATGTAACCTTGATCTCATTATCTGATCATAGGATGGAGTTGACTCTTGGGTTCTCCCAAGTTGCACCAGTCTAGCCAAGCAATTACCAGTTCACCAGTTGCCCAGCAGATGGTGAATTTTTAAGCTATAGCAATTCAGGGAATATGGAAGGGTTGCAATCTGTGCATAGAAAGAGTGCCCATAGCAATAAAATCGTAGCTCTTTCAAGGTGTCTCAATGAATTCTGCACAATTTGCTAACTGCGCCTTGCACTACACACAGAATGCAAGACAAACTGTCTTAGTGTGTATGTAGTTTGCTAAACTTCCCACTGCAGCATTGTGGTACTGAGGTACCCAGAATCACAGGATCTCCAAGTTGGAGACTTCAGGGATCATCTAGCCCAGGCCAGACCTGAACAAGAATCTCTGCTACCACATGCCTAGCAAGTGGTCATCCAGCTTCTCTGGACAAACTCCAGAAGGGGAGTCAAGGGGAACCTGCTGCCTCTCCAAACAATCCATTCCACTCTTGGACTGCTGTAATTGTGGGGAGCTTTTTTCCTCCTATTGATTAGAAATCTGACTCTCTGTAGCTTCCACCCAGTGCCCTATTACAGCGTTCACTCTAATAACTGACATCACTGTAGACTTCCAAGGTTTCCAAAATAGTTTACATAAATTTTCCCATTTGAGCTTCACAAGTAAGTTCTATAGGTATTATAATCCCCATTTCACAGGTGAGGAAACTGAGAATATGAGGCTAAGTTATTTGCCCTGGTCCACACAGCTAGTTAGTCTTTGAGAAAGTCCCCAAGTCCTACACTGTTGCACACCCAAGACTTCGCTCCTGTTGCTGGAAAGGTATGTAGAGTTTCTGGGGGATGGGAGGGGGAATGGGAGGGGAGGAAAAGAAACATAACCAACCTGAGACTTGATTATTTTACAATGCGCCTTCCTTTTGACACCCCCACTGCTGTCCAGTGCTGAAACAGAGGCAGAGCCTCTAGTCCTTCTCAAACCCTGGTGCTGTCCAAGTGCTGAATGCTGCTCTGCTAGAGAACTTTCTCAAATTAACCTTTCCTAATGGGTCTCCCTGAGAGACAGCCCCCTGAATTTTGGGCACACACACACCCATACACACACGTGTGCACATACACCCCATAATGCCTACATAAAGAGGAGTCTACTCTTTTAAAAGCCTAAGCGAAGCCAATCTGTCCCTATGAGCTGAGCAGGCTCATCTCACTGTAAATTCTTATTCCTCTCAACTCCTCCCACCTCCAATTGCAGCTGCGATTGGGGCTGTGAAGCTGGGCACCCTACACTTCAGCACCCCTTTAAATTCAGGCTTGTTTATGGACTTAAGTATTTCCTGACCCCACCAGACAGACTCTCCTGGTCAGCCACAGAAGAGCCCTGTCTTAGAGAAAAGTCAACGTCCTTTAAGGTTTCAAATGACTCCAAAAAGGAAAACCCATGCACAGCAAAAAGCAGCAGGCTTGCCCCTTAGAGATGGGCCTTCGACAGCCAGCTCCTAGTCAGCAGATTCAAGAGAAGGCATTTACCTCTCCACTCTACCCCCAGGCTTCTGAGGAAATAGCTAATCACCTCATGGTTTCCCCACATTGGGGAAACAGGCAGCAGAGATGTGCCATTTGGATCCCTCAAGATTCCCTTTAATCTATAGATGCATTTCAGAAATCCATCAGTGCATCTCTGGCACTCCAATAACTTATGGCCTTATGAAAGTGCTTTTCCACCCTATAGAAAGGCAAAGGGGCAAGAGAAATCAGTCACCAACTCAGTTTAAAACAATAGACAGTCCAATCCAATAGTTTCTGAGGTGCCTGTGCAGTCAAACATTAATTTGATGCTATCAGTCTGGGAATCCTGAAGTCACTTTTACAGGGATGTGAACTTCAGCCTGCTTCAATGTGAGAGATCCTACTGAAATCTGGCATCTATCAAAGGGTGATTAATCTTTATTTATTGACTCAGTGGTACTTGCATGTGAAAATAATCATTTTCATCCTGAAAATACTTGTTAAATTGTAACACAAATACACACAGCCTCCTCACTAAGGTTCAGCCAGCTCTGAGGTAAGTGGAGCAGCCCATAGTATGACAAAGAGGACTTGAAGATAAACTTCTGCTTTAATAGCAACACTGGTTTGTTAAAGATTGTCAGAGAATTGTCAGAATTTTGACATGGACCAAGAGCTTTTTAATTAAGCTCTGAGAGTTTGTCTCATGGTATTATGGAGATGGACTACTCAAACTATCTTTTTAACCTCTTATTGGCTTATGATAATGATTTCTGCAGTGTTCTCCTTCTCTTCTCCCCCTAAAGTATATGTTTATACACCCTTAGGAAAACTTTAATAAGCAATCTCATGTTTATTTATTATTTCACAAATTCCAAAATACTTTACACACATTAACTCATTAGAGCCTCACAACAACTGTGTTAACCCATTTTATAGCTGAGGAACCTGAGGTTCAGAGAAGTGAGTTCCTTGTCCGAGGGTCACACAGTCAGCAAATATTAGAGTCAAGACTCAAATCCAGGTTTTCCAATTCCAAGTACAGGGATCTTCCCATTACACCATACTGTGTTCTCCTTCCAACCAGAAACGTGTCCACCTCTGTTGCCTAAAGTTGACCTCCTAAATAACTGATGAGGAAGTTTCTGTCCTCCCAAAGGACTGACTCTCCTATGCTCAGGGACTTTGGGATCCCAGGGGAGCAGAGAGGAAAAGGTTACGTATGGTTTTGTGCTGATGCTTTGAGAGCCGGGGACCTGTCAACAGCTTGCTGGAGTGACCTGAAGTACCCAAAGCTATCTCTGCTTCTCGGCCAAGTTCCTTCACCTTCTGGGCCTCAGTTTCTTCCTCTGCAAACTGAAGAGGTTGGACTAGGTGATCTCCAAATTCCTTCCCGGGATCCCATACACTGGGTTCTCTATGGCATCAGCAACAGAGTCAGAAGCAGGAGTCCACTTGGTTTATTCACTCCAATCTCTCCTCTGGCCTGGTGCTGTCCCGCAGGCTTCCATACCAGTTCTCAAGGCACTTTTTCCTCTAAGTTGTTTCAGGCTAATAGTGGATTGATTCATCTTGTCAGGGTCGTTGGAACCTTCTAATGCTACCTCTGACACACACTGGCATTGTGACCCTGGGCAAATCACTTAACCTCTCAGTGCCCCGGGCAACTACCCAAGACAGTAAGTCACTGAGAAGGTGTGGCTTGTATTGGTGAAGGGGATTTCCTCACCTAAAAGTTCTCCATACCACTGAAATCGTGGGTCCAGTTCAGATCCTATCTATTTCTCATTGTTCTAATTTAAGGAAGGGAGGGAGACGTGCAAGAGAGAATTTTAAAATTGCAGTATGTTTGACTTGAACACATCCTTAGACACCTAAGCCAATCTCCTCACCCACCCATTTTTCAGATTTAAAAAGTGAGATGCAAAGGACTTGTCTAAGGTCATGCTAGTTAATGGTGAATATCAGGCAGCCTAAATTTGGGGTAAAGAAAGGAGTAAAGAAGTTGCTAAGCCACCAGGAAGGAAGTACAAGGCAGATGGGCCTGAGAAGAAGAAAAGGAAAGAAGGAAAGGAGGAACCAGGACTTCATGGATCTCTTTCAACCAGAAAAGATAAAAGTCAAACCTCAGCTTCCTATAGAAGGTCATATCACTGATGTTTGGTAGTTACCCTTTGGGAGTCATATTATAATACGCTGACCCTCCTGGGCAATTTTGTCTTGAGCACAGAGATCAGCAGAGAGGGAGAGGTGATGGCAGTGGGGAGGCTACAGTAAGAAGCAAAAGTGAGATTTCAGATCATTCAAGAGGCCAGAAGGAATTGGAGAATCCATATAAGCTTAGGAAAAAGAGAGACAGCTGGGCAGACAGATACATACATACAGAGAGAGACAGAGAGAGAGAGAGAGAGAGAGAGAGAGAGAGAGAGAGAGAGAGAGAGAGAGAGAGAGATACAGGCAGTGAGAAAGGGCAAGATTCTGGGCTACAGAGTCCTTGTAAAATCAGCTCCTTCTCCAAGGGGCTGATTAACTCTGGCCCTGGCCTGCCACCTCCTCTCAGCCATGAAGCTGTCAAGAGGAAAATGCCCAGTGACTCGGCTCCTTCACACTCTTCTGTCTCCTCTCCCTCTGCCCCCCCCCTTCACTTTTAAATCATTAGGACTTGACTCAGCTTGGCTCCAGGCTAAATGAAAGCTGTTGAGAAAAGGGGAGAATAAACAGCTTGTTTGGATTTCTCAGGGCTGGAGAGTTGGAGACTGGATTGAAACACCTACCACACCTCCCCGAGCTAAGCCTTAGCAGTCCAAGCTCCTCCCCAACACAATGACATGCTCTGAACCCCACTCCAGCTGCTGGCTACTGTGCCTTTAAATTGCTGCTTTCAGAGGGTGTATATGGGGGGAGGCAGGAGGGAGGGGAAAATCTTCCTCCCAATCTCCCTCCTCCCTCCCCTCCAAGATTCTCCAGGGTTCGGAGAGTGATCGCTGCCCAAAGAGGATCCCTCCCAGATTCCCAGGCAGCCCAGGTCCTCCCTCCACAGCCTGGGAGTCCGAGGCATCGAAGCAGAGTCATCTATGACATGATTATCTAAATGAGGACAATTGTAGCCCCCAACCAGTGAGGTCGGGGAAGGAGAGAAGAAAAATAAGGAGAAGAAAAGAAGAAGGAAGGAAGAAGAGGAGGAGAGGACGGACCAACTCCCTGGGCTAGGGAAACAGGCTATGTCTAGGCAGCCCAAGTTGGAGGAGGGCTTCTGACTTTTGGCATTCCCAGTGGGGTTTTCCCCTCTTGCCTCTGAAGCAAGGGAAGAAGGTAAGGGGCATCAGTTGCTCTAAGGAATGAAAACTCTTACTCCTGGAACCCTCTCCTTCCTCTTCTTCTGGACCCTACAAGAGCAGGTCCTACTCAGGTGAGCAGAGCATGGGTTAGAGCATGTGGCTGCATGAATAACAAAACCCCAAAAACCAATCACACCAGAGGTTGCATTTCCAAGGGATGCAAACTGGGGTCCCCCAGGGATTCTGGCCCCAGTGCTTTCATCTAAGTTGATGGGAAGCTGAGAGCCTAGTGGCTCCCTGAGGAATCTGAGCCCAAGGGACCCCAACAAGGCTGAATGAGTTCCTGACTGGGATGGCACTGTCGAGGAAGCTACTGCATTTGGCTGAGAAACTTGGCTGTGACATTGGCTAGTCAGGGCAGGGAGTATGCTCCTGAACATCTCCCCTCAGCCTTTCCTCTCACACCCAGATAACCAGCAATACTCACTAAAGGCAAAAGGAAAATCACATATGCTAGATGGGCAAAGGGTTCCTTCCCTTCACCAAGGAACAGAGGGTTTGCCAAAAGCCTATACCTGGAGGAGTCTAAAATGAACAAACCATAGAACACCCCCCTCCTTGGCTTGGGGACTGCCTGTACATGACTGAGTACTGTCCCTGGGGTTGGAATAAACAGGACTCACTGCCTGGGAGGGGACAAAATACTTCCTAGAGTCTCCCAGTAAGTATCCTTGCTTGCTTGCAGAACGGGAGCTGGGTTACAACTGGGAGAAACTGTGTTGTTAGGCAATGAGCAGCAGAAAGGGGATGTGCCTGGGGGCAGAGTGGGCCGGGGAAGGTGCCTCAGAAGCCACACAGAGGCAGGACCAGGGCCCTCCCTCAAACCCTTGTCCATGCTGTTCACTGCTATGACTGAGGGCCTGTTTGGAGATCCTTCCCTCCCTAAACACAGCTGCTGGCCCCTTGGGCAGCCAGGGAGCCTGGAAGAGCCAACTTCCTGAGGGGGTGAATAAGGACTGATGCTTCAGCTGGCATCCCTGCTCCTAGCTTTGCTCCCTTCAGTGAGGGGCTGGCAGCTTCCAAAATGGAGACTCCAGCTTTCTCTTGGAGGAATTTTTTTTTTTTTAGAAATATAGAAAGTCACATTTGGCATCAGGGCCCTTAGAGGTCATTTAGTACAGCCCCCTTCTATTTATACAAGAGGGAAACTGAAGCCCAGAGTGGGTGGACTTGTCCAAGGTCACACAGCCATCTAGCAAAAGAGCTAGTGCTTCCTGGGAGGCCTTGTATGAGCCTGGGCTTCAACTCTGCTACTTCCTAACTCTTCTCAGCAACAGGGACTTTCTAGGAATAAAGGTGACTAGAATGCCTTAAGGACACTAGCTCTGGTGAACTCTGGGCCTCCCTGCCCAATTCCACCACTTCTGCAGCAAGAAATCTGAGAGGAGGAAGCCAAGGTAGTCCTGCTAACAGTGTCAGGGAGAGCTCAGCCTGAAGTTGATGTGGAAGGTGACCTGAGCGGGGGCCAGTGTGGAACTCTGGTGCACAGCAAGGCTCTGACTCAGTGTTCATGTGGTGGGCAGGTAGCCATCAGTTGGCAATAGCAGCTGGGAAGTAAGGGGGTACCTACTTCTGCTTGGTTCTCACCTCTACCTTCTTCCCTGGGATTTCAGAAGGCATCTCTGGCCACCAGCTCCAGCAACCCTGGCCCTCACTCCATCAGTAGTGTGTGGAGGGGTGGAGGTGGGGCCTAGACTTTTCTCACCTGAAGTAGGGGGTTGGAGAGAGAAACAGGTGCAATCTTCAGAGAAGGGCTCTCTCCAGGAAAGGGAAGACATTAGTGTCTCCCTCTGATGCTGCTTGCTGTACCCTAAGCTGATGGCTGGAGTTGGTCACTGGTGTAGTCGGACAGCTCAGGGTGAGGAGCTATTGGCTTTGAGAAACTGGGGCCCAGAAGAATGGTGATCTCTAGGACTCCCAGTCCCCTCCATGGTTGCTACTGTGGTGATGGTGAGAAGCACCCATTGCAGCTAGCTGGCTGGCAGCCTTTTCTGCTGCCCAACTCCTTTGTACCTGAAGGTTTTGCTGAACCCATGGACACTACAGAGAGGCAACATGGTGTAGCGGCTAAAACACTGGATTTGGAGCCAAGAAGACCTGAGTTCAAATCCCACCTCAGATGCTTATTAGCTATGTTATCCTGGGAAGTCTCTTAAGGTCTTGCTCTTCATCCCTCACCCCGCCCCCCTAAAATGAGGGTGTGGATTCGCTGACCACTTAACGTCCTTCCGGCTCTAAATCTATGATACTATTCCATCTTTATTGGTAGGAATAAGGGCGGATTGAGGGGATTGCAATGCTCAGAGAGTGGGCTTGTCAGAAAAGGTGGGCTCCCATAACACATGTTAGATAGAGGAAGCAGCGGGTCCCCAAAGCAGCTGCTAGCACTGTGTCATCAGCCCCAGGCTGGAATGGAAGAGAATGCAAGGTAGCAATGAAAGGAGCTGGGGCACCATCCCAGCAGAAAGCAAGTCAGAAAGCAACTGAATGGCTGCTGAACAGCCTGGGGGCTGGTGGGGGGGGGGGTTGGCAATCTCTAGACTGGCTTTTGCACCACGTGGGCTTTAGCTAACAAAGCAAAGTTAGTCTTTGTCTCACCATCACCAAGACACCTCTGCTGCATTTGGCCTGGGCACAGCCAGTCAATTGGGTGGCTTACCCAGACGCTTTAGACCGTGGCTCCCAGGCCCCATCTGACTTTGCCTTATGCAAATGTCAACATCCTAGGACCCTAAGCCAGAGGTTCCTGTTCAAGCCAAAACTGCTGAGGCTTCAAAGAATTACCCAACAGGGCACCCTATGGGGCTGGCACCCCAGCAATTCTGCCTTTTCTCTAACTGAGCCTGAGCCCTCAGTCTCTAGAAGGAAGCTGTCCATGGGTTCTTTGGGAAGTCCCCACCCTTAGGCTTGAAGAATAAGAGTTGGAAGGGATCAGAGAGGTCACCTGCTTTCCTTCAATCAGTCGGCCTGGAGCTTCTGCCTGAGTTCCAAGGCCAACAAGAACAAGCTGTTTCTATGAGGAAGAGCCCACTCCATCTTCAGGAGGCCCAGTCCACTAATTGTTGGGAAGTGTTTCCAGTCACGTGGACTAACTTTGTCTCTGTGCAGCCAGCTTCCCCCCAATACTGCTCCTGGTTCTGCTCTCTGGGACCACAAACTAGCCCTTCAGATATTTACAGCTAGCCATCATGCCCCCTCCAAAGCTTCTCTTCCCCAAGATAAACACCCCCACCCTCTTTAACAAAACCTAATGTGACAGGGTCTCCAAGATCCTCTGTATCCTGGTCAACTTTCTCTGAGTATACTCCAGCTTACCAATGTCTTTCCTTAAATAACAAAGCTGGGAGGAGGAGACAGTTTAAGGGGAAACATGAGCTCAGTTTGGGACACATCCCACTGACATCTGAAACTCAACATCAGGCATTTAGAGTCATGAGATTGGAGCTGAGAGGAGAGATTAGGGCTGGAGAGATGGATTTAGGAATCATCTGTGTAGAGATGATAATTGTAGCCACGGGAGCATATGAGCTCAGTAAGGGAAGCTATATGGAGAGAAGAGGGCCTAGGACAGAGCCTTAGGGAACACCCACATGTGGGGGAAGGAGAAAGATGATAAACCAAGGAAAGAGAACCAGAAGAGATCCCTGCTCAGGAATCCAAAGGAACCAGCATATCCAACAGTGTCCAAACTTACAGAAAGGTCAGCAGATGAGTCATGGTGTTGCATAATTAGGGGTTGGGGTCACCTTTGAGAGAACAGTTGCAGTAAAGGGGCAGAGTCAGAAGCTAAATTCAGAGAGATCGAGTGAATGGGTGGAGAGGATGGAGAGGTGTGTTGTTATGAGTGAAATAGGCCTTTTCTTTGCATGATCCCAAAGCATTTTCAAGTGAGGTTTTGCTCTCTCCAGGTTGCAACCTGATGTACATACCAGCAATTCACAGTTCACAACCTCAAGAGGAAGGCTGAGTAGAAGCAAGGGGGAAGGGGGAGAAAGATTTAGCCCACCAATTTTCAACCTCCCTTCACTAGGTTGGCTTCAGGGAAAGAGGAAGTCAAATCTGCCTCCAAGAGCATTCCTCAGCCCATGTCACCCTCTGATTTCCTGGACAAGCTCATGGGACGGACTTCTGGGTATGATGCTAGGATTCGGCCCAATTTTAAAGGTAAATTGCCTTTGTTTTTTACAGGAGGCCTGGGGACACACTAGTGCCCAGCCAGGACCTCTGATTTCCAGCAACATCAAAGGGAATGATGGTAAAGATAGTAAAGGTGGGCTCCTCTGTCTATTCTTGCTCTTACAAGCTCAATACTGCCCTCAGGCCCCTGTGGATCTCACCCAATCATTGCCATCTTCCCCAATCCTTTCCACTTCCCATCACTGACCCTAGCCTTCGCTTCCCCTGCTCAGCTATCTATATACTTTTGGGAGAAGACCCAGGAGGGCAAAGGAGAAAAGAAAAGGAAAGAGGTGAAAGAGGGAAAGGGAGCTCATTGGCTTGACTCCATTGTCCCTTAGATGAGCCAGTAATGACACTGTGGTTTGGTGTCCTCAGGGCCCCCCGTGAATGTGACCTGCAACATCTTCATCAACAGCTTCAGCTCCGTCACAGAAACCACAATGGTAAGTGACGCTCCTCAACTGCCAGGACTGCCCATCCTTCCTTATTGTCAGGGATCTTCCTTCAGCTCCCAAGGGATCCCCGAAGCCCCTCACTGGGTTTCTCCCTCCTACTTTCTACTCTCATAGACTCTCCACTGAAAGAGACCAGAAGAATTATCTAATTCATAGTCAGGAGCACAGGCTCTTTAACAAACCCTCAGAGACCTAAGGTCCTATGGCACGAGGCAGACACCACAGATACCTGTACATCTAAGCATCAGGGAGCCAGAGATTTGGTGGGACAGCTCAGCTCAGCCCAGTCCAGCCCCGTTCTCCACTTTCTTGATGCTCTAAGCACACTTCCATATAGAGACTCCACTGCCCTTTAGAGGTCTGAGGGCACCTCAGGCTGACCCTGCAAGGCCATGTCAAGGTGTCCCAGTTGCATCTGACGTGGTTGTTTCTTCCCCTAAGGATTACAGAGTGAATGTCTTCCTTCGGCAGCAGTGGAATGACCCACGCCTAGCCTACCTGGAATACCCAGACGACTCCCTGGACCTAGACCCTTCCATGCTGGACTCCATTTGGAAGCCAGACTTATTCTTTGCCAACGAGAAGGGTGCCAACTTCCATGAGGTGACCACTGACAACAAGCTTCTTCGGATCTTCAAGAATGGGAGTGTGCTCTACAGTATCAGGTACGGGCCAGAATGGGAGAGGGAACCCCTGGGGAGAGAAGAATGGAGGGAAGAGGGAAGTATGGACCATGAGGAAAACAAGGGATCAGCAATTCCTTTTTGTGTGTGTTCTGAGTATATCAGTCAAGGCTGTTGGCTTGAAGTTGGGTGGAGCATACAGCCTGAGGATCGTTATACCATCACTGTTACTCCTCATTTGTCAGGGCAAATACACAAGCCAAGGGCAAGAAGGCATACCAGGGAGGTGGAGGTCGAAATGGGTCAGGAAAATCTAGGTTCAAATCTAGCCTCTGACATTTCCTAGTTGTGTGACACTGGGCAAGATATTTTACCAATCAGCCTCAATTTCTTCATCTGTAAAACGTAGTGTTTACTTCGCAAGGTTATCATTAGACTCAAATGACATAATGTATTACAGAGCCCTTTACAAACTTGAAATTGCTATATTAATATTCATGATCATTATTATTATGTCTGGTCCTCTCAGGCTAACTCTTGTCTTGTCCTGCCCAATGGACCTCAAGAACTTCCCTATGGACATCCAGACGTGCACGATGCAGCTAGAAAGCTGTGAGTAGTTGTGGAGCAATGAGGTACAATTGGAGGGGTGCCCCAAAGTATAGCCCCATCAGCCTGCTACCAGGCTTAAGATTCCACCCCTGTCAGTCTTTGGATTAAGGTACAAAGATCTCTTTTCAAATGCAAATGTGGTCTTCTGAGAAAGAGACTTGGAAGACCTTAACAAACATTCTCCTAGGTGAGCTGTGACCTGAAGAGGAAGGGAGGGCAATGTCTAGGCCTAGGACCCTGCCCAGTCCCGGTGGGGCATGGCAGTAGAGGAGCTCACCAAAGGTTAAGGGGGGAGGGGTAAACCCCAATTGCGCTTGCTTACAATTGTACTTCGGCCTGCCCTATACTTCTAATGCAGACATTACATAGCTACAAGGTATGACCTCAAAATAGAATAGGAGCAGAGTTGAGACATGTGGATCGTGAGATCTTTTCTGCTCCATTTCTGTCGTATGCCTAGGATCCAAAACATTGCCAAGTATGTGAGATGCTTGCTGCTTGTCTGTGCACCTTGTACCCATGTACAATGGAGCACCGAGATCTTATACCTATGCCCAACATGTGGTGTGGTCAGGCATCAGCTATTTCTATGTCCCAGTGTGCCAGGCTCCATACGCATGCCTTGTTTTGGGGAAATCAGATCCCTAAGAATGGTGGGCTTTAGGAAATCCTAGCTCTGACGTTGATCCTCCAGAGTTTGCACACAGTACTCGCCACACATGTTCACTCGGGCAGGTTCCAGATATCCAGGAGGATCCCATCTGCTCTCTTTGACATCCTTTCAAAAGGATATCTGCTATCTGGGCACCTCTCTGGAATAGAAAGGGCAAGCCAAAGAGTTGGGCGTTGCAGCTCTGTCCTCCAGAGGTCCTAGATATCAGATGGGACAGCTTCTCCTGAAAAGCCTTGATCAAATGAGCAAGAAACGCCTAATCCTTATGCCAGGGCAGCCTCTTCCATGTCTACTTCCACCATGTGTGCACATGGGTGTGGGTGTGTGTGTGTGGGTGTGTGGGTGTACACCATGAGGCCCCTGACCCTGTGTCTCTCCTCTTTCAGTTGGTTATACTATGAACGACCTTGTGTTTGAGTGGCTGGAAGATGCCCCGGCTGTGCAAGTAGCTGAGGGGCTGACTCTGCCCCAGTTTATCTTGCGGGATGAAAAGGACCTCGGCTACTGCACCAAATATTACAACACAGGTAAAGCCCAGAACCTCTCACTAGCTGTGGACCAAAGGGCCTGGGCTTGGCCACTGGAACCCATGATGACCTCTCTGGCTTCAGGATAAACTGACCTTTAGAGTTAAGCAGCAGAGAATAGTCTACCATGTTCTGGGGATCAACAGAATAGGAGGGATGGAGGTGATGTGGCCAATGGCCCAGCCACGCCCAGCTAGGACACAGGGACACCCCTTAAGAGTCAGTGTCTTCGTGCTATACTGAAGGCAAGGGGCAGGCTCTACCCAGCAGAAATGAAGGTTACGACTGTGGCCTCCCTGCTGCTTTTTAATTTTTTAATTAATTTATTTACTTTTAGTTTTCAACATTCACTTCCATAAGATTTTGAGTTTAAAAATTTCTCCCTCTCCTACTTCTTCCCCCTGCCCCAGACAGCATACAATCTGATATAGGCTCTACATATACCCTCATGCTAACCATATTTTCCCATTAGTCATGATGTAAAGAACAATTAGAACTAATGGAGGAACCATGAGAATGAAGCAATAAAACAAAACAACACAGGAAAAGGAGAGCAAATAGCATGCTTCCATCTGCATTCAGACTCCATAGTTCTTTCTCTGGATGTGGATAGCAATTTCCATCATGAGCCTTTTCGAGTTAACTTGGATTCTTGCGTTGCTGTGAAGAGCCACGTCTATTGCAGTTAGTCATCCCATAATGTGGCTGTTACTGTGTACAAAGTCCTCTTGGTTCTGCTCACTTCACTCAGCATCAGACCATGTAAGTCTTTCCAGGTTTTTCTGAAGTCTGCCTGCTCATCATTTCTTATAGCACAATAGTATTCCACTACATTCATATACTACAACTTGTTCAGCCATTTCCCAATGGATGGGTATCCTCTCAATTTCCAATTCTTGGCCACCACTGAAAGAGCTGCTCTAAATATTTTTGTACACGTGGGTCAAATTCCCCATTTTTATGATCTCTTTGGGATATAGACCTAGAAGTTTTGTTGCTGGGTCAAAGGGTGGCCTCCCCATTATTGCCAATCATCTCCTCCTGATGGCTTCTTGACTGAGCCCTAAGGTGTAATCCCCAAAGCCAAGATACAAGAAGCACCCCTAACTAGACAGGTAAGAGATTCTAGAGGGAAAATGGAAGAGAGAGGGCCCAAGGTCAAGGAAGAGCTGAATAATTCATCATGGAAGGCTTTCCTTTCCGTAAGCCCAGCATAAAATATGGCAAGGAGAATCTGGAACAGTCTGTAAGAATCTGTGATCAAAAAAACCGAGAGCTTAAGGGAAGGGTGGGCAGAGCCCAAGGAAAGAGTCTCCATTCCAGAGAGTAGATGGGATTGGCAAGAGTGTCTGGCACTTCCCAGGGACAAGGGAGTCCTGGCCACATCTCTGCCAGAGCTAAAGAACAAATAGTGATCTCCCACCTCCTCTTCCATCCAGCCAACCACACTTTCCCACTAGGAGTTGCTCTCCAAACTGCCGTGGCAGCAAATTAAATCTATTTTCGAAATAAACAAAAACTAACAACTAGGGAAATACGTAAGGTTCCTATATAAGAGGTTTGCATCCCAGTGGGCCAGCTGCTGTTGGCAAATTGAACTGGGGAAGTCTAAGCCTCTGCAGAGATGCATCTGGTATTTGAGCTGCATTGCCTTATTGACCTGGCCTCCTTGGTGCCCCCTCATAGAATTTGCATTGCCTGTGGGGAGCAGGCAGTCTACAAGCACTTACTAAGAAGTTCCTATGTGCCAGGCAGGCACTGTGCTAAGCTCTGAGGATATAAAGAAAGGCAAAAACAACTTGCTATCTCAGGACTACTAGAGGCTTCTTTGACACCTCTCAGAGAGTTGCTGCCGAAGGGAGATGGAGACAATTATAAGCTGTGCTGACTGGGTCCACTACAAATTTATGTTACATAATCTCAATTGGGCCCTCATTGCTGAAAGGCAATTCGTCTGTAATTAACTTGCTACCCCTCTGACCATAGTAGTTTTCCCAAACCTTTTTATCCCTTCTCAAACCCTTCCTGTCACTCTTCCCCACACACTTATCCTTTCATCCAAGGACCATACTTCATACTTCACTAAGGCCATCTTCTAAGAGCTCCTTCTTTTCTTTTTCTCTTCATCCCATATTACCTAGACATCTTTCCTCACTATTTTCTCCACTATCCTTGTGTCTTGTGAAGAGGTGGCCTTTCTCCTTGCCAAGGTAAACCCTTCTACATGTCCCTTGATACAGTCCCATCCTCTCTCTTCTGTAGCAGATCCCCCACCACCACTCTTTCCTTCTCTCCCCCTCCTCTCTCTTTCATTTTGAATCTCTCATCTATTGACTCCTTCTCTGATGCCTACAAGCTTGCCCGTTTCTCTTCCATTCTTAAAAAGTCCTCACTTGATCTAACCATCCTCACTAGCTACTGTCTTGTTTTCTCCTCTCCTTCTCAGCTCAACTCCTGTAAGAAGAGAGCCATCTATAGTTGGCACATCCACTTTGTTTCCTCTCCCTGTCGTCTACACCTATGATCTGCCTTCTGACCTCATTATTCAGCTGCTTGTGTTCTCTCCAAAGTTACCAATGATTTCTTAATTGCCAAATCTAACGAGCCTTCATCCTTCTTGACCTCTCTTCCACCTTTGACACTGGCAATCAGCCTTTCCTCCTGGATGCTCTTTGCTTTCCTGCCTAGGTTTTTGGGACCCTGCAACCTCTTGCTTCTCCCACCAGTCTGACCTGCGCTGTGGTCTTTTTGCTAACTATTCATCTTAGTTATGCCCCTTAACTGTAGGTATTCTGTGAGGCTCTTTCCTGCATTCTCTTCTCTTCTCCCTCTATGCTATTTCACTTGGCCATCTCATCTGCTCATGTGGATTCCATTATTGTCTCTATGCAGATGACTCTCAGATCTCAAAACCCAACTCTAATCTCTCTCCTGCAATCCCGTCTCACATCACCACCTGCTTCTGGACTTCTCAAATTCAATTTGTCCAAGATAGATCTTGTCATCTTTCTATTGGGCTCCTTTCCTCTCCTCCACTTCCCTATTCCTCCTTAGGACTCTCTATAATTCTATTCTCCCCTTCTCGCTGTCACCCAGGCTCACAACCTCAGTGTTATCCCAACACTTTGCCCTCACTCACACCACATACCCAACCTGTTGCCAAGCTTTGTCACATCTGCCATCCAGATGTAGGCCCTCATCATCTCATGCGTGGAGTATCACAATAACCTTCTAACTGGTTTCCCTGCCTCAAATCCATCCTCCATTCAGCTTCCAGAGTGAAAAAAAAAGCACAGATCCCATCATCTCTCCCCTCCTCCCTGTTCCACTTAACAACTTCAGTGTCTCCCTCTGACCTCCAGGATCAAATAGAAAATCCTCTGTTTGGCTTTGAAAGCCCTTCACAACCCAATCCCTTCCTACCTTTCCAGTCTTCTGACACTTTGCTCTCCTCCACAGACTATGATCCCTAACACTGGCCTCTTTGCTGCTCTTTACTCACATTGCTGCATCTCTAGACTCCATGCCTCTTTGCAGGCTGTCCCCCATGCCTGGAACATTCTCCCTCCTCACCTTTGCCCTTTGGCTTCCCATCCTCTCTTCTCTGTCGGCCTCCCATTTATATTAGATATATCTTGTTTGGACGTAGTCGTCTGCACATTGGCTCCCCCATTAGACTGGGAGCTGTTTGAGGACAGGGACCTTGTTTTTGCGTTTCTTTGTATCCTCAGAGCTTAGCACAGTGCCTGCCTGGTACATAGGAACTTCTTAGTAAATGCTTGTAGACTGTGTGCTCCCCACAGGCAATGCGAATTCTATGAGGGGGCACTAAGGAGCCCAGGTCAATAAGGCAATGCAGCTCAAATACCAGATGCATCTCTGCAGAGGCTTAGACTTCCCCAGTCCAATTTGCCAACAGCAGCTGGCCCATGGGGATGCAGCCCTCTTGTATAGGAACCTTAAGTATTTCTCTGGTTGTTAGTTTTTGTTTATTTTGAAAATAGATTTAATTTGTTGCCTGGATCACTGTCTACATGGCTCATTAGAGTCAAAGCAATAAGTCAACAAACACTTATTAAGTGCTTACCATGTGCCAGGCACTGAGCTTCTTAGAGGACTCCAGGTCGCCCCTGTGAGGGTGTGTATGTAATGAGATTGGGGCAGAAGACAGAATCATGAAGGTCTCAGCCATACATGACATTTATCCACTAAAGTTTCAATGTCAGCCATGGAAGTAAACACTGACCCATAGGCCACGGGAGGGAGACAGAGATCATGTGGGAGTTACCATGTTGAGTCTGGCCCAGAGACGCAAGGCTACTGCCAGCCAGCTATAGGCCAGAGAGGGCACCGGGGGCTAATAGTCTCTTTTCTGACAGGAAAGTTTACTTGCATAGAGGTGAAGTTCCACTTGGAGCGCCAGATGGGCTACTACCTGATCCAAATGTACATCCCTAGTCTGCTCATTGTCATCCTGTCTTGGGTCTCCTTCTGGATCAACATGGACGCCGCCCCTGCCCGAGTGGGCTTGGGTATCACGACGGTATTGACGATGACGACCCAGAGCTCAGGCTCCCGAGCGTCTTTACCTAAGGTGAAGGGATGCATTGGAACATAGCTTTGCATAGGATATTTCTCAGCTAGCTCTTATGTTGGCCCATGTTTGAATTCAGCTCAATCCAGTTCCAATGAACAAACATTTACCAAGGACTTATCACACATGTGTATGAAGTAACTTGATGTAGTAGGTAGAGGGCCAGCCTTAGAGTCAGGAAGACTGGGTTCAAATCCAATCTCTGAGACATACTGGCTGTGTGACCCTAGACAAATCATTTTGTCTTTCCGTACTCTAAGCCAATGGTGTCAAATTCAAATGGAAACCGATTCCTGTTGGTTGCATAGTGACTTAGAAAACCACACATTAACATTATCTATGTTGAATTGTATTTTATTTACTTTGTTAAACATTCCCAATTACATTTGAATCTGGTTCAGGCTGCACTTGGGAGTTTTGCTGGAGGTTTGATGACTCTGCTCCAAGGTTCTGAGTGGCAGAGAAGGTGTTGATTTACATTGCTAGAAGGAGTTTGCTTATACCAATGAGATCCTAGGTCCAGACAAAGACAAATAGGTATGTGCATGATCCCATTCTTGGGGGGAGTGCTATTTAGGATTAGAAATGCTAGAGAGTTGGGTAGCAGAAAAGCTCAATGTTTGGGATCCTCCTGGTCCTCTCAAAGTAGGAAATTATAGGCATTATAGAATCCTAGACTTTTAAAACTAGAAGGGACCTTAGAGTTCATTGAATCCAAGCCACTCACACCTTACTGATGAAGAAGCTAAGACCTAGAGAAGGGCAGTCACATCTTACAAGCAAAAGCATTAGACCTACAAGATTCCAGTTATTGCAATAGGCTTTGGAGTCACCTTTCACTAATCTCTCTGATCCATTTCTCTAAGTCAAACCAAATTCCAACGGGATTGTCCAAATCCTGATGTTCTGCTGGCATTTTGTTGTCATAAATATTGCTTGAAGGAAGTGGGTCCCTGACTAGGGCTTGGAACATTTTTTTTGTCACCAAAACGTTTATTGTCATGGGACCTGTTGCGAGGAAATTTGCCTGACATCTCTAATCCTTATGAAGGGAATTCAAGGGAATTCAGCCTACCCCTGAAAAAAAAAAAAGCCTTATGGTCAGAAAGACTGAGAGTAAATCTGGTGACTTGATCAGGTAGCTTATTCTTGTACCTGTCTATTAACACAGGCCCTAGGCCCAGTCCCCAGCTTTCCAATGTCCAGAGGCAGAGAGAAGCGAGAGAGTCTGCCAGGCCTCAGGTCAGCGACATTCTTTGATGAGCATAGAAAGTCACTCCCTGGAAGTGCTCTCTTGGTTAATATAGGGAGAGGGATTTCTGATATTTTAAAAAGAAAATTATAGCCCTACTGTATAGGCCTAACAGAGGCAGGGAAATGAATGCCCTGATGATTTTACGAAATAAATAAACAAATAAAAGTTTCTGGATGCAGGGAGTGGAGGGATAGAGGCAGTTATATGTCAAGGCCAAAGTGCAATGGCAGGGTATAGAAAGGAGACCTGGGAACTCTGAGATGAACTGATCAGGATTATGCATGGCCCTCTTAATGAAACATCTGCTGGCCTTCCTGAACAGCTTCAGATTAAGTCATACAGAGTCCAAGGTGAAAATAATGAGAAAGGGGGTACAGAGCAGCCAGACTTCAGCTGGACCCAATCAGTCAAGCTGGAGGTGATGAAAGTGGCATAATTGTTGGTGCTGCTGAGGCAAGCAAGTCAACACCTGGACATCCATAGCCTGCCCACCCATCCAGTGAGTTTCCTGGATGGAAAAGTATAGTAACAATGATACAGTGTAATCAAAGGGGAAATTGTGGACAGAGATTCTGGATGGGGAAAGGAAGCTAGGCTGTGCTAGGGAGAAAACCAACATGGAGAAAACACTGTTCCCTTCTCTGTTTCTTGGGTTGTTTCACTGTTGAGATCAAGAGAGTGAGCTAAGGGAAAGTGCCACAGTCTCTACCTCAGGCTTGCCAAAAGAGCTCCCTTTTCCGGTCCCCTCCTGTGAACATGCACAATCCATCTGCTCCAAGAAACCACTTACTTTGTTTTCTCATTTGGAAGGAAATGGATTTTTCTTCTTCTTCTCCTTTTTTTTGGTAGCATTTGGCACCTCCTGGTCAGATTCTAATGGCTGTTGGCCAGAAAGCAAGCCACAAATGTACACCCCAACCCAAAAGTGTGAGGAGCCCCAGAGAGCCTTTTCTTCAGGTCATTACTTATGAGTGGCTATTTCCACCACTCTGGGACCAAAGAAAGCATCCTGCCCTCCATGTCCAGGTTCTGACGTAGTTCATGAAGGACAAGACCATAGTCTCTCCCTAAAGGGCTCCAGGGACTTTTGCTTTGAATGAAAGGGCTTTGAGAGGACCATAGAGAAAAATGTGAACAGTACTTCAATGTTGGTGAAGGCTGGGTTTGGAGAGGGAATTTGCTCCTGGGTTTCTTTTAATCTACCTAACACAGTCACTGGCTTTAGTCCCTCTGAGCCCTTAGCCCCTGGTAACTTTCATGGTTTCTGATCATGATAGCCCAGCTAAGAGCACCAGAGGCCTGGGATGTACCTTCCCCTCCCCCACCCCCAGAGTCATAGAGCTGAACCAGGAGACTGGGTCAATGAAGGAGAGGGGCAGGTAGCCTAGGATCTAGGTGATGAAGATATCTCCATCATCAGTCTGGCTCTGAGAATCAGGAAGATTTATCTGTAAATGTATAGAGATGTAAATGTAAATAAATAGAGGAGAAAGACCTCCTTGGCAAAGAGAAAAAGACATACAGAGGCTCTGGAGTGTGCAATAAAAGAAACAAAGGGAACCAGGACAGGGAGAAGGCAAGGTACAAAAGGAGAAGAGTGCATCATAAGTATAGCAGAGGTGCCAGACCATTGGTAACCCTAGATCTGGGCTGAGCACTAGAGTGTATACAGCTCCTTTCCTTCCAAGGCTTCCCAGCACTTCCCAGATCTTGCCCAACACTAGCTCATCATTTGATCTCCATCAGCACTGACTGAGGCCCCACAGCAGTGCATGGCACTAAGATTAACTGCTAATGACATCAGACAACATTGCTACCTTTTAATAGATGGAAAAGTAGAGATAAAACGAGATGCAGTACTACTCAGGGTCACACAGCAAATAGGTAACAAGACTAAGGCTCGAAGGAAGATCTGACTTTCTCATTTTAGAGATGATCTAATCCAATTGCCTCCTCTTATAAATGAAGAAACTGAGGCCCAGAAAGGTTAAGCAACTTGCCTAAAGTTGTACAGTAAGTAGTTACTAACTATATTACACATCAGAGACTGGCTTCAAGCCTATTGAGCTAAATTCCCAAACGGGATCTTGCGTTTTGTGCTTTAGCTTCATTGACTGGAGTGTGGAGTAAGTGAGGGGGGAGTGATATGAAATAACTCCAGAAAGGCAGAATGAAGCCAGACTATAAAAGGGTTTAGGTGCCAAACTGAAGAGTTTATATTTTATCCCAGAGGCCATAGGGAACCAGTGAAAATTCTCAAACAAGGGAGCGACATGGTTCGACCTGTGCTTGGGAAGACTCCTTTTGTTGCCCAGGATAATTGTGAGACTAAGGGAAATTCAGGCTGGTGAAAGCTGGGGAAACCATGTAATAGGGCCCAGGCTAGCAAGAGGTAGTATGGTGCAGTAGAAAGAAACTGGCTCTGGGGTCCAAGGTTGTTGTTATTCAATTATTTCAGTCATTTTTCAGTCATGTCTGACTCTTCTTGCCCCCATTTGGGGTTTTCTTGGCAGAGATACTGGAGTGGTTTGCCATTTCCTTCTTCAGCTCATTTTACAGATGAGGAAACTGAGGCAAATAGGGTTAAGTGATTTGCCTAGGGTCACACAGCTAGGAAGTGTCTGAGGCCAGATTTGAACTCGGGAAGATTAGTCTTCCTGACTCCAGGCCTAGAACTCTGTCCACTACACCACCCAGCTACCCCCAGACCAAGAAACCTTTTCGTTTTAGAGAACTTCTAATAGTAGAGATGAAGCGTCAGGTGCTAGGAATATTGGCAGGAGAGTGGGGGTGGGATACTTCCTCCTTTGTTGAAATTAATAGAAGTCAGCACTCCCAACCACTACCCCAAGCTCTGCCTCTTCCCCAGGGAGAGCCAATAAGCCCCAGATAAATTGCCAGTTTAATTCAATGAGGCAATCACTTCTGATGCACCTACTATGTGCTAGGCTCTGGGAATACAAAAACAAATTGAAAAACAATCACTGCCTTCAAAGAACTTGCATTCTGCAGAGGGGAGGGGGGCAGGGTGGGGATGCAATATGTAAATAGATAAATTAATAAAAATTTATGCAAATAGCAAGCAGAGGAGAGGAGGGGGACTAACATTTGGGAGAAGACCTCATGTAGGAAAGAGGGAGTGCATTCCAGCGTCTTCTCACGGTGGGGATGGGAAAGGTCACATATGCGGAACATCAGATAGGCAAGTTTGGCTGAAGTATAGAATTTGTCTGGAGATATGTCTTTTTAAAAGCAATAGGGAGCCACTGAAACTTCTTGAGGGAGAGAGAGATGTGGTCAGCCACAGTTTCTTAGGGAGGAAAAAGGTGAGGAATGGGACCTGACTTTGGAGAAAGCCTAACTTGGTGCCTTCTGCATAGCAAGTGCCTAATAACTGTTCAAGGGGGAAAGGAAAGGAAGGGAAGGGAAGAGAAGGGAGGTAGATAGGGAGGAAGAAGCGAAAGTGAGGAAATCAGAGAAAAATCAATACTGAAACGAAGCGGTCCATTAAGAGAACAGATTGAACAACGTCGATGTTCTAGGAGTCTGAGAGCTTTGTGCTGGGGTAGAAACAAGAGACTGGGTGGGGGGATTCTCGTCTTGCTTGTAACTAGCCAGCTCTCTATTTCCTCATCTATAAAAAGGGGGTCCCTATGTGCCCCAAAGAGGTGTCGTGGGGACCAGAAGAAAGTGTGGATATTCAGTGCTTTGAAAATCAGAAAGCACCACGATGTTTTTGTGATGGTGATACTCTTAGTTAAGAAAAGGGCATCAGGACCAAAGGGAAATAGAACGAGGGCAGATGTATGAACACCTGGGCAGATATCTTAATGAAACCAATGGAGAATGAAAGGGAGTGGCAGGACAGCTCAGGTGGGGGACAGGGGGCAAAGAATCCCGACGGATGCCTCAGTTGGTGTTGCAGGTGTCCTATGTGAAGGCCATCGATATCTGGATGGCAGTCTGTCTGCTCTTTGTATTTGCTGCCCTGCTGGAGTATGCTGCTGTGAACTTCGTCTCCCGCCAACATAAGGAGTTCATGCGCCTTCGAAGGAGACAGAGGCGCCAGCGCATGGTGAGTACTTCTGTTTGCAACCCAGCATGCCATACCCCACTATCTCTGTTCTCTTCTCCTAACCTTCTTCTCCCAGCTTCTGACACTTTTTTTTTTTTGGTGAGGCAATCAGGGTTAAGTGACTTGGCCAGGGTCACACAGCTAGTAACTATCATATATCTGAGGCCGGATTTGAACTCAGGTCCTCCTGATTCCAAGGCCAGAGCTCTAGCCACTGTGCCACCTAGCTGCCCCCTGACGCTTTCTTATCCACATGAGGGACTAGGATATCAGCTTGAGTGTTTTCCCACTACAAGGACCCAGGCCATGTTAACATCAGCTATCTCTGGTGTTAGTCAAAAGGGACAACTTCTTCACTCCTTTAATGGTTAGCAGATCCAGCAGTCACACAGCATGCTCCTACCTTCTACTTGGCCTCACATTCAAATGTCTTACTAACCTGGGGCTATAAGCCACGGTGTTTAGTGGAAAGAGAGTGGGAGTAGAAATCAGGAGATCTATGATCTCAGCCCAACTCCATCATCAGATAGCTATGTGACCCTGGACAAGTCACTGTCTCTTAGACTGGTTTCTTTTATCAACACAATGCTTTCCAAGGTTGCTGGGAAGATTAAACTATAAAATGCCACACAAAATGTGTAAGGTTTTCTTGCTAGTATGTCATGCTGCCCCCAAGTGATTGTACAACTTATGGCTGTTCACTCCCCCCACCCCAGGCCCCTGGCGTGCTCCTGTTTGCTGCAGGCTATAGCTACTAGATGGGAATTCAAGGGCCAAAAAGCATCTTTCGAGGTGAAATGCTGCTGAAGGGACTCTATAGGCCCCCTTGGGTGCAAATTCTGCCAACTTGCCCTACTCTGGATAAGAGCTTTCATTATGGCCCCTGGAGGAGGAACAGGAGCAGTTAGACTAGGGATGTTCTCTGGCATTTCTGGGAGAACCATTAGATGGAGTGTGTTGTCATGACAACGGAGGTGGCCTCTCTCCATCCCCTCTCTGGAAAGAGGCATTTGTGATCACCTGACAATCTGGTCCCCCTTTCTCCTTCCCTGCCCCAGAGCCAGGGTGTTGGAGGGGGGTTGTGTTGTCATGACAACAGAGATGGTCTCCCTCCTCTACTTTTAGAGAGCAGAACTTCAGGCATGTTGTTATGGCAACAGATGCATTCCTGAGACACTCTTCTGGGAAGGAAGTGCAAAATGAGGAACAAAGGAAGGAACCCTGGTTGTTTTGTGTGGAGGGGCAAAAAGATTTGGTTTGTTTAGAACTACTGGCCTGCTAAGAACCACTGAGCTCTGCTTAGAGCTCACAGCCTTCTCAGTCTGTCTGATCTTGAGGCAGCAAACCCTGGGGGTCTAATGACAAGTTAAGGATCCCAGTCCCTGCGTCTAACATCTGCATGGGGAAGGAGGCTCCGTCTATGGTCTGATCATGTCTGCACCAATTCCTTCCCCTCCAGCCACATGGGCTTTTCTCCTTCCTCCCTCTCATCCCACTCTTTGGCTCTGATCTGTCCTCTGCTAGAGCCAAGGAGCTCACAAACCGAATCGAAAGTTCCAAATTGCTTTAGGATTCACTGTAGACGCTACTCTCTCTCTCTCTCTCTCTCTCTCTCTCTCTCTCTCTCTCTCTCTCTCTCTCTCTCTCTCTCTCTCTCTCTCTCTCTCTCTCTCTCTCTCTCTCTCTCTCTCTCTCTCTCTCTCTCTCTCTCTCTCTCTCTCTCTCTGCCTTTCTCTTGTACTGTTTCTGGGTTCTTACCATCCATTGTCTCTTTCCTCCATTATCAGAACCCTGGGTGGGGCTCCCTCCAGTGGTCAAATCCATTCTGGCACCTCCCCATAATTCATTGTATGTAGGAATTAAAGATGTCTCATAGGACCCCAGCTCTACAGCTGGGACGGACCTCAGAGGCTGAGCCCACCTCCTCGTTTTGCAGAGAAGGAAACTGAGGCCCAGAGAAGGAAAGGGACTTGTTCAAGGTCACACAAGTAGTAAGTAACACAGCTGGAATTTGAAACCAGGTCTTCCTGTCTCCAGGTAAATTAATCAGCAAAACATTGCTTACTTACTAGGTCAAGTAGCAGGCACTGTGTCACTGTGGGGATACCCAAACAAAAAAACTAAATAGTCCCTGCCTCCTCAAGGAGTTGGGGGACAGGGTGTGGGAAAAGTATAAGCATTTATTAAGCACCTACTATGTGCCAGGCACTGTGGTAAGCACTTTACAAATATTACCTCATTTCATCCTCACAACCCTGGAGGGTGGGGTAGGTGCTATTATCACCCCCATTTTACAGTTGGGGAAACTGAGACACACAAAGGTTAAGTGACTTGCCCAGGGTCACACAGCTAATATGTGTCTAAGGCCAGATTTGAATTCAGGTCTATCTGACTTGAGGCCCAGTGCTCTAGCCATTGCACAACCTAGCTGCATTCTCTGCATGTTCTTTCTAGCATGTCACATTTCCTTTCCTAATTTTCAATTCCACCCACCCATCCACCACCACCACCTTATAGACCTTCCCAGGCCAACCCCTGCTCCTGTAAGAAGATCTAGACTGGGCTAGTAAAGGACAGGAAAGGAAGATGGTGGGAGAAGCTCTAGGCCTCCCTCTCTCATATCAAGCTATTTCTTCCAGAAAACCAAAGCATCTGGCAGAGCCCTGCATCACTCTCCTGTCCTGTTTTTGTTTGCTCCCCACCTGTTGGAGTGAAAAGGGAATGAGCATGGAACGAGCAAGCTAGCCTGGAGTGCCTCTGGCAGCAGACTAGCCTGCCCCACCATGCTGTGGCCTGCTGGAGCTCCAGGCCCAGGCAAGGCGGTATTAACTCATCTCTGTCCTCTCCTTCCCCAACCGCCCCAACTTCCAGGCACCCCAAGGTCACCCTTCCCAACAAACACCATTCCACCTGTCCCACTGAGCAAGCAGCCATGAAAAAGTCTTGAACCATGGTAGGTAAAGATTGTAACAAACATGACCAGGGCCGGCTGAGGTCTGGGCCTCTTCCTCTGGGGCAGCTCAAAGCAGGTGTGACTTTTCAGTGGTTGTCCTCTTCAGCCACAGCTTAGCTTCATTAGGCTGCTAGAGTGCAAGCTCCTTGAGGCAGAAACTTGTCTGTTTTTGTTTTTGTTTTGACTAAGCAATGGGGTTAAGTGACTTGCCCAGGGTCACACAGCTATTAAGTGTTATGTGTCTGAGGCTGGATTTGAACTCAGGTTCTCCTGAATCCAGGACTGGTGCTCTATCCACTGTGCCACCTAGGTGCCCTGAAACTTGTCTTTGTATTCCTGGCTCTGTGCACAGTGGACATAGTGGTTGCTGAATGGAATTGCTTGGAATTCTGGTTAGAAAGTGTTCTGTTCCTGAAGCCTGGGTGGAACTTGCCAAACATGTGCTGTGCACGGCACCATGCTGTCCTTGCCACATCTACACCACATGATGTCCACCAATGTCCTTCGCTTCTTCAAAAATCAGCCAGACTCCCCTCTTTCAGGAAACCTTTCAGGATTAACTCTAAATTCCCAGCATGCATGCCTTCTCTGTAGTTTCTTGCTCAGTTTCAGGCTGTTCTGGCTTGTCTCTTTTAAAAGACAGTGAGTTCCTCGAGGACATCAATAACGTCCATATTTTTGTGACCTCTCCCCTCCCCCAATGCCTGATGACAACAGCTGACATTCATATAAGGCCTTAAGGTCGACTAAATATTTTACATCCATTATCTCATTTTACCCTCTCAACAATTCTATAAGGTAAGAACCAGTTATTATTCTCATTTTACAGATGGGGAAACTGAGGTTCAGGGAAGTCACCTGGTTTGCCTAAGGCCCCACAGCTAGAAAGCCTCCCTTGTGCTCTTTCTGCCTGCCTAAGACAAACAGATTGATTAGTTCATCAGAGGATGAGTCTGATCATGCAGAGAAATCTAGTTGGGAGCCATGAGGGACTTCCATCACCCTGCCAACCTCCTCCAGAGCTTCAGTCCTCTCTCTCCACCTCCCCCTTCTCCCCACTCCCAGCAGTAGCAGCTCACAGGGTACACTGGATTCTGTCTTCTCCCCCTCTTCCCACCCTCTCACCCCAACACACACACACACATACACACAAGGGCAAAAAAAAAAAAAGCTGTCCAGGATTCACTTTCCCTCTCTTCCTCCTCCCTCCCTGGCTTAGAGTCACCAGATCTCTGACTCTGGCTCAGCCTTTCAGCCCCTGCCCACTCTTCTACCTCTGAGGCTACAGGGGCAAAAGGGGATGAGGCTCCCATGGGCACCTTCACTCTCCGTTCTGCTTCACCTGTAACAAGGCAAAAGGAAATAATCGACTTCAAAGAAACAGCTCAAGCCCAGACCAGGAACGTTGGGCTGGGTTTTTCTCCTTCCAAGTGCTTTGCCAACAGACCCATTGTGGGTCTCTCACAGCAATGTTCTTTGTGAGGAGTTGCTTCTCTTACTTCCTTCTCAACCTACCAGTGATTTCAGAGGGATCCAAGGTTTCTGGGCCTCAGTTTCCACATCTTTTTAAAAATGGGAATCAATATTAACTTCATCATAGGAATAATGTCAGGCTTTATTGGAGCAAGCTGTAAAGTGCTGGGAGGCCTCCGGAAGCGAGTGTTACAGAAATTCAGGAAGTAGTCTGGTATTCCTCTGGGGATTACTGTAGGAGACAAAAATATCTCCCTGCCTTCCCCCTGGAGATCAGAGTCTGGGTACCATGCAACAGCTCAGTAATTATGCAGATATTTTCTAGCTTCTCTCTGATCTGATGATGTCATGCTCCCTTCCCCAAGAACTTTCAATGGCTCCCCATTGCTCCTGGAATGAAACAGAGAGTCCTTGGCCTAGCATTTCAAACCGTTCACCGTATGGCTCCATTCCCCCTTTCCACCCTGGTTCCATTGGACTTCCCAACTGGCCTGTGCACTCTTCACTGAACTCAGTGCTTAATCAGCACGTTTTTGCCCGTGTATCTCTCTCCTTAATTTTTAAGCAGAGAATACTGAATGTCATGTAACCTTTTCTGTATCACTCAGGGGCATAGGATGGCAGATCTCTGGCTGGAAGGGCCCTTAGTCCCTTCTAGTCCACCTAGCCCAAACCCCTCAACTGATATATGAGGAAACACAGGCCCAAGGTCATACAGGTAGCAAGTGACAGAAGCGAGATTTGAACCCAGGTCCTCAGGCGTCAGAGCCAGTAAGTGATCTTTTCACTTCTCCATAATGAGCATCAACTATTGTACTGGGCTTTGTTGAGGCATGGAGGACTGTCCTTCCACCCTTCCCCTCCCAGACAACTGGGCTTTAAGAATGCTTCTGTCTGGGGCAGCTAGGCGGTGCAGTGGATAGAGTTCCAGCCTTGGAGTCAGGAGGACTTGAGTTCAAATCTATCTCAGACATATGATACTCACTAGCTCTGTGACCCTGGGCAAGTCACTTAACCCCAATTGCCTCACCAAAAAAGGCCAAAAAAAGGGAGTGCTTTTGTCTGCTTTTTGTAGTTTTTCTGTCTTAATCAATCAACATGTATTAAGCACCTACTACGTGCCAGGCACTCTACTAAGCTCTCTTCCCTCCATGTCAAACTGACAGCTGTCATTTCTTCCCCCTTTCATCTACTCATACATTTTGAGCTGAAAGGGCTATAGGAGACCATCTAGTTTACACACACATACACATACACACACACACACACACACACACACACACATCCTTTTTTATTGTTAGGAAACTGAGGCCCAGAGACGTTAGGTAATTTGCCCAAGCTCGTGCTGGTAGTATATACAGCCAGAATTTGAATTCAGATCCTCTGACTCCAAATTCACCATCATTGCCACTACATCACTCTTGCCTCTATCAAGCAGATTGAGTGTCTCACTCTGCGGTGCCCCCTCTCCCGCCCACCCAATTTGATCCTTCTAACTCTGCTGTGAGCCAGGCAACCAGACAACCAAACTTGTTACAAGTATCATGGTGTTGCAATGAGAGTCATTGGGACGTGAGTGGGGGACTGGGCATCTCTTCTTCAAGTAGAATGAATGAACTTCAGTGTGTGGACCCTGGGAACCTTCTTCTGTTACGTTTTTTTTTTAATTTTTAGGCAATTGGGGTTAAGTGACTTGCCCAGGGTCACACAGCTAGTAAGTGTCAAGTGTTTGGTCTGAGGCTGGATTTGAATTCAGGTCCTCCTGACTTCAGGGCTGGTGCTCTACCCACTGCGCAACCTCGCTGCCCCCGGGAACCTTCTTTTAGCTGCTGTCATGGATCAGTTCATTGCTCCATGCCAAGTTTGTGGCAGGCTTCCAGAGAATTGTATTGTGTGGGCTTTGTCCATAATGATGGTGATGATGATGTCCATGGCGATGGACAGAAGTCTAGTGGAGTTAATAATGTATGGATTGCGTAGGCTGTGGCCTCTCTGCAGGAATTAGCTGACATCCATCTGGGGCTACCGAACCAGCCTCACTGAGCTCATTGGATGACCATTGGGAGGTATTCAAATCCCTTAGGTATAGGGGAGGCTTATGGGATCGTGGAGCACAGAGCTGCAAGGGAGGGAACCTGACAATCCAACCTCACCTTACTGCACAGATGAAAAACCTGAAGCCCAGAATCAACAGTCAGGAAGTGTCTGGGCTGGGATGGGAATCCAGGCAATCCTGACTACAAGTCTGGTACCCCATCCATGCTGTTTTCCCTTGGAGCTTTGCCTTTTAGGTAGAGAGAGCAAACAAGCCCCTGCCCAGGTAGAATTCTACTTCCTTTCTTGACCTGTAAGCCATCAAAACCACATTCTCAAAAGCCTAAATGTTTCCCAAGTAACATCACATGATAGGTTTCATCATTCCGCTTATCACAAACTAGAGGAACCTGGGGATTTATATTACTTTCAGACATCCTTCCAAGTGGCTCAACACTTCCATTCGTTTTGAATGTCCGTAATTATCTCTTGGTAATTATTGTGATTATTACTATTAACTTTGTAAGGGGGAGACCTGCAAATAGGAACATAGCATAGGCTACGCTAATGATGGAGAAATGCACAGACTATCTACCATCCTGCCCAAGTGCTTGTATGTACGTTACTAAGTATACTGCAGATGTAGAGATCTATATCTTGACATAATATGTGTATGGCTTCACAAGAGGAACAGATGTATGTAGTCTGGTCTCTGTCCCTATTGTGATCTCAAACTCTGCCTGCCTTTTCTCACTTGCTCCTGCAGGAAGAAGAAGTCATCCGAGAGAGTCGATTCTATTTCCGGGGCTATGGCCTAGGCCACTGCCTGCAGGTCAGGGATGGAGGTCCCATGGAAGGCCCAGGTATTTATAGCACCCCACCCCCAGTTCCTCTCCTGAGGGAGGGGGAGACTGTGCGGAAGCACTATGTGGACAGGGCCAAACGAATCGATACCATCTCCCGTGCAATCTTCCCTTTCACGTTCCTCATCTTCAACATCTTTTACTGGGTTGTCTACAAAGTTCTTCGATCAGAGGACATCCACCAAGCACCATAATGAGGGCGGGGCTGTCACCTTCCTTCAGCCTGCATCAGATCTCCCTCCAGAGTACCCAACTACCAACCTACCAGCTATGTGGGTGTATGCTGCTGTTGCTGCTGCATGGTGACAAAAGTGGTTGTACTTCTAGAGAAGGCTAATCTATTCAAATCCAACCAAACTCCAACCTCACTCATCCTCTCCTGAAGTTAGGGTCTGCCGTTTTCCTGGGGCTAGCTAATAAGGTCTTCTTTCTCTTCCAAAGGCTCATCTTCCAACACTCCATTAAGGGGGTACCCAGGTCCCTAATGCTAAAAATAGTAGGCTCTGTCATCTCATCCCAGTCCACCTTCACCTCAGCATGGCCTTACAGGAATGCTGTGCCCGCTTCCCTTATCAGCTGAACATGGGGCATCCTACCCATTCTAAAGCATGGAAACTAACAGTGTGCCCATCCATACTTGCTGCCCTTCATGGCCAGCCATGTATATATACTCAAAGGACCAGAGAGCCTCCATTTGGGGCTATAGAAGGAAGGGAAGCTGATAGCCTTTCCACCACCCATTTACCAGAGAGCATGACTAAAAAGCCCTGTAATGAACTAGGGGAATCAGTTGCGAGATTTTCACAAGCATTAGAGAACCCAACACTGGGCATGGATGGGGGTGGTGCTCTAGACTTCTGGAAAAATCTGATCTTGACAACCCTGATAGGCCTCATCATTTGACACTCCTGGAGTCTCCTAGCTCCAAGAACACTTACTCTGCTGTTCCTGAAGACCTTTATCCCTTAAGAACTACCATGGCAACAGTAGCTTTGGGTTGCCTAAAAAGAAACAATATTTTTTAAAGGATCTGCTTGATCTTACTCAGTGGCACTTGTAACTTTGCATAGGAAACCAGGCCTGAGCCAATGTGTGCTTGAAACCCTAGGAGTTGTGGGAAACAGAGACTGTCCTTGGGTAGTTTTATGTTTGCTCTTTTTATTCCAAACCCCAAACTCTTTGATATCCCAAAACTCTCCTCTCTTGTGCCTACATCACCAAAAGATGCACCTGGCCTCTGGGCTGCTGACTTCATCTCCTGCTGTTGGTTATGAGTTAAGACCTTGAGATCACTCACTCCTTTTGGCAAATAGTTCACAGCAACACTCCTGTCCTGGACATCCAAAGTTCCAGAGCAGGAATGGCATGTAATGGTTGCTATGCTGTGCCGATGGGATCATATCAACCTGCAAGGGGTGGTGTCATTGGTAGGAGCATTTGGGGGTTCCCTAATCTAGTGGCCATGCTTCCTATTCTCCACCTCCCAAAACACACACACACACACACACACACACACACACACACACACACACACACAGAGTGGCAGCTGAGAACAGTACCAGAGCTAGGAGGATGAGGTATATAGTACACACTTCAGGGTTCTATTTCTGCTGCCTTCCTATCAGCCCACATGGCAGCATGGGTCCAGCACCTTGGAGTCTACAGCATGTGCAAAACTGTGAGCTAGAAAGACTGAATATGATAGAAAGTGCTGAGACACTAGCTGAAAGAGGTGAACTCAATAAATCTTCCTTGGCATTTTTTGGGCATAATCAATTGGGTTTTTTTGAATGACACATATACCCTTTCTTTTACTACCATGTTCAAATTCCAGAGTCAATAGACCCCAAAGTCAATCCAGTGCTGTGCTTCCATTCTCCCCTGGTCAAATGAGGTTGTCTGTTTCTTCTCGTGTGGTGCTATGGGGGCCTCTCTGCCAGCATGGCAGCAACTCATGGGGGACAGAGCTGTGGACTTGGTTGGAGTCTGGAAGACCTGAGTTTGAATCCTACTATACTAGCTCTGTGACTATGGGCAAGTCACTCAGCTCCTCTTAGCCTCAGTTTCCCCATCTGTAAAGTGGAGATAATAATAAACCTTACCTTCCAAGCTGTTACGAAGAACAACAGAGGTCGTTTATGTATGGCACTTTGAAAACACTAAAGTGAGCTATTATTATTCCTTCTCTCAATTCTCTGTCATCTAGGATGGCTGGCTCAGAACTCACTGGTCAGTGGGAAAGTAGAGAGTAATCCATGGGATTTCTACTTTGGCATACCAGGGACAATGAGCCGGTAGGAAGGGGCTGAATTAGGAAGGAAAGAAGGACCTTGCCCATTTCTGCCCAGGTAGTGGAAGTCACTGATTCCACACAAGGAAAATCTCTTTTGCAAAGAATCAGAGACCACCCCTTTGATAATCTTCATGATGGGTCTGACGGGGTGTCAGGCTGCCACGGCCCGAGGGCATGGGCAGAGGAGGGGCACGATGGAGATGGGCTGATTCAACAGAGCCTTCCTTGTTAGAGATCTGCTGCAGATGGGCCCACTGCACAAATCTGCCCTGTTGCAAGTCTTGGAGAACAATGCCCTGGAGACAGCAATAGCCCTGAGCCATGGCGCCTGCCCAACTGGGACCCAGCTTGAGCAATCAGCTGGTACTAGAAGGCCAGAGAAGTCGAAGTCCGGGCCACCAGAATGACCTGAGGGAGTTAACAAAGTGACACAGAGGCTAGCCTCCCGCAGAGGGCAGTTGGGGAGGGAGTGGGGACCAAACGGTCTTAATTGTTCCACTCATGCTCGATCAGATCCACACCCCCCACCCCCACCCCTTCACCCAGAAGCACTCTAGAGGAGCCACATGGTGGAAGAATCTAGGCCATATGGCTTTCACTCCCCTCCCCCACCCCACTCCCCTCCACACACATACTGAAGTTTTCCATGGCTCCTCGGGGCTTTTCCTTCCCTTTGGGCAAATCTGACACCTGACAATCAGGTCTGTCACACCGTCCTTGGACTCCCTTACCCGCCCAGTGGCCACTTACATGGTGAAGTGGCTAAAGTGATATAAGAGCCTTCCATGATGTCATTGCTACCCATGTACGTGCACTACTGACTCCTCTGAAGGGAGTGCACGTGGAGAGACTTTGAGTTTTAAAAGACCGTCTTTTTAAAGAAGGGGAAAAAACTTCCTATGCAAATAAAGTGTTTCTGGTGTTTTCATTAATTCAACGTTAATATTTAATGCCAGTTTAATATTTCATATTTTTCGTTCCCCAAGAGAGAGTTTGCCTCTTCCAGTTGTCAGGGCTGGCAGCATCCCCCCCCCAGCCAGATTCATTCAGCTCCTTGGAAGAGGGATATGCTTCTTTTCCCCCTCCTTCCCCCTCCTCTGCTCCAAGCCACTCTTCCTCATCTAGAGTGCCAGTGTAGTCAAGGGAACATTTTAAGTGGAAGACAGAACTAGATAGAGAATGGGGAGCTACATACCCCCCACCCCACCCTACCCCTCAAGTCTTCCTTTTCCTTAGTCAATAAAGCACTGAGACTCTTTCAGGGGAGAAGCCAAATACAGTCTCCAGGAGATGCACCCCACTCCTTGCTAAGTCACTTTAAGGCTGAAATCTTGCCCCAAAGTTGCTATTCTAACTGCCCAGAGACCCTGGCCCAATGCACTAGCTTGCCTGCCCCCATGAGCACTCCAAGGACACTGGAGGTCCTTAATTTCTGTTTCAGTCTAAGGCCCCCCAATGAGAGGCCTACTCAAGCTGATGACAGATAGAGAAATCAGACTCAGCATCCTGCAAAGAGTTCATAAAGCAAGCACTGGAGCTCTGCCTTAATGTAGAAGATTTCTCTTGTGAGCTCCCTGATGGCAGCAATTGTCTTGTACATTTTATGCCGCCCACACACAGTTCCAATGACAGGGTTTTGGACATAAGGAGCACAAAATTATTTTAGTTGAAGGAACATTGGGTGTGTCCCAACTAAGTTTGCTATAAAGGAGATTTCTGTTAAATGGATCCTTCTTTTCCCTCCCTCCCCTACTTACACAGTCAGCTGTTTTTTCCAGGAGGAACTATACATATATACATACATACATACATACATACATATGTATGTATGTATGTCTATGATATAATGAAATAATATGCAAAAAGGCTGAGAATCAAATACTTCAAGGAAAAGAATAACTTTTTTCATAAGATGTCAATGACATGCAAAACAACGATGTTCCTTCACTGTATTCCAAATCAATTAAAACATTATAACTCTGGCAATGACAATTCAGCTCAGTACCAGGAAGAAATTCTGGCAGTTCGACCAGAATACTGTAGAGGAATCAATCCGTAAAGCGTTAGCAATTTGGCTGATTTTCACCCGCCTTAAACCAACTTCTAACGTTGGCGCCAATGTACTTTTGACTTTAAGGCAAAAACTCATCCAAGTCATTTTGGTACATTTTGTTGGAATGTGTTAGAACAGAAGTGTGGACTGCACCACACAAGATCACTTTCCATACGGGAATAATGCATTCCTGGAGCCACAGAGGCACTCACAGATGACACATCGGAAGCCTGTTGGTGACTTTGGTATGGACCTCTCATGGCTACTGCTTTCAACAGGCAGTGCTCTTCAAAGAGCCTGGTGGTGTAGTGGAAGGTCATAACTTCCCCTACCACCAATTCTCAGTATGTAGTATAGTTCTCAGAAGCCTTGGGGTCTCATTTCATGAGATGGCCTCAGCATACTTTCCACTGAAGAGCCTACTAAAAATTGCTTTTTGGGGGATTGGAGCAGCTTCTATCCACATGTGGCACAAACTATGCTAATAAGGACTCTATTCCATGGATGCCTCCTCTCTGAAGCATTGGCATTACATGGAATCTTGGTTTGCTATTTCTGATAAATAAAAGCTACCTGCAGTCACTTGACTGGCCTAAGGTGACCCTTAATTTATCACTGAACAGTTCTGTCCTTATTGCAGAGTTGCCTTGGCCATCCTATCTCTTTACAGAACCCCTACTGACTTGGATGGGGAAAGGTACGATGGACAAGGGGAACAGGGACTCCCCCGCCCACCCTGGGTCTGGCTACTACAGCTTTCTCGGGCAGTCTCCAAAGGCCTGGCAGTGGAAACATGAGATAAGGTATAAAGGATTTTAAATGTTGGCATCACAGTCAATGGATGTGCCTTTCAAATATTATTGATAATTGAGTCTGTCCATCTTCAGCCAAGCAAACAAAGCCTCTCACATAGGCAGCCCAGCTTGGGAATGGCAACAATAATTCCTTCCTTCCCATGTCCCCTCCCCTTCCCCCATTCAATAAACTCCAGTAACTCCTTATCACCTCCAGGATTAAATAGAAGCCCTTCACAACGTGGCCTGCTCCTCGTCTTCTTAGACCTGCCATCCAGTGACATGGCCTTATGCAACACATTCTATCTCTCAGCTCCATGTTTTTTTCATTGGCAGTTCCACAGGCCTGGAACTCTCTCCTTCTTCAGCTCTACTTCCTGACTTCCTTCAAGTCCCAACTCAAGACCCCAACTTTGACAGCAAGCTTTTTCGGATCTCCCTTAATGCGAATGCCTTCCTTTTTGTTGATTCTTTCTTTCCAATTTATCCTGTTTGTACATAGTTGTGTGTATGTTGTGTCCCCCCCCCCATTAGAATGTGAGCTCTTTGAGGCTAGGCAATTGGCCTTTGCCTTTCTTTGTATCCCTAGCGCTTAGCATAGTGCCTGGCTCATAGCACTGAATAAATGCTTATTGACTAACTGATTTTTGAGGGGGAGAGGGGTTACCTTCTTTGTGATCTCCCCATGCATTGCCTTCCCAACAACCCAGAGAACAAATGCCAGACCCAGGCATTCACTTAACACTAGTCTAGATGGGCCTGCTTGGGCCAAGATGGCTGCTGCCCGTCTCCTCCTCATGACCAGTTGTTTCCAGGATCTGCTTTAGGACTTTGAGTCTTCTTGGGGGTCACATGCTTTGCTTCAGCTCTCTTGGGGAAGGGCAGGGAAGCTCCTCTTTTATTCATTAAGAAAGCAAGTGAACATTCTTCCTCATTCTTTAGAAAAGTCTCTTTTGCTTCCCCCCACAGCCATCCAACAGAGGCATGCTCCATAGTCCAATTTGTAACTTTCAGGAAGCGCCAACACTGACAATACTTTTCCTTTGGCATTATTGTCACTTTCCAGTAACTCCTCAATACCTTCTTTTCCACCATGACAAAGAAATACAGTTAAATGGGGGGGGGGGGGAACCACATTGGCCATGTCTCATAACATGAGCTTTATTCCATCCCTCTAATCCAGACTTCTTTGCCAAGAGGAGAAAGGGATGTATCAGCATCTATCCTCTGGAATCAAGGCTGGCCATTGCATTAATCCAAGTTCTCATGGTTCACTTTATATCAGTACAGTCACTGTATATATTGTTCTGTTTACTTTGCTCTGCAACAGTTCAAACACATTTTCACAAGTCCTTTAAATGTGTCATGCAAAGAATGAGCCATTCCTCAACTGCTGGGTACCCCTGTTCCCCCTTTCTTAGCTACCATGAAAAGCTACTATAAATATCTGTATATACATCAGCCCTTTCCTTCTGTTCTTGCCCTCCTTGGGATATATGCTGGGCCAAAGGGTATGTATGCTTTTGTGACTTTTCTAGTATACTTGTAAATCACTTCCCAGTATCGCCAACCACACATTAGTGTGCCTGCCCTCCCACAGCCCCTCGAACGTTTTGAGGGGTGAGGGTTACCCCCTTTGTGATTTCCCCATGTGCTGCCTTCCCAGAAACTCAGAAAACAAATGCCAGACACTCTGCAGGCTCCCCACAATGAACTACCTGGGATTTAGACAAAAGCAACCAAAGTGGCAAAAGATATAAGGGTAGAGGTGAGGGAGGAAATCATTCCAGGCCTACCCAGAGTCCACAGATAGAATACGAAACCTTAACCTAACCCTAATTCCATTGCAATCACATATCACAATTTGTTCAGCCACTCCCCAGCCAATTGGCAGCCACAGGAATCTGAATGAGGTGGGATGCAGATGAGAGAGAAAATGAAGCTGAGGGATGGGGAGAGGATGGCATAGTGAGAA